GTCTCGTAAATCAGCTCCCAAATCGACTGCCTGGCTAGCTGGCTGGCTGGCTGGCTCCCTTTGTGTGTGGGCGTTCGAAAGTTGTTGGGTCGCGAAGCGGAAGCATTTGCCGTTGTACTCTTTTGTTTTCACTGTCTGTCGCATGTGGCGTATGAGTGATGTATGTGACATGTGCGATGCAGTTGGCCGGCCTCTCCTGATCCCTACCGCCGTGATGCCCAGGGGATGACCACTTTGTTCAATCTTTCTCAATGTGTCATCCGAAATGGGCTTACGTTCTTGTTACTTTTGTTGTTGCTTTGTGAGCGAAAGTGGGTCACACTTTTGTTTCGTTCTTCTTGTTGGGGTAGGAGGCTCCAAAGGTTTCTGGGTCGATGTCGCATTCATAAGTTTTGTGTCATGTAACGAATTTAGTAGGATTAGTGGCTGTCCAAATATGCCAAGGTACCTTCAATGGGTGTCGTAACTGCTGACTGGCTTTCCAAAATAGTTTACAAATACTTTTTGCAGTTTATTTACTTGAATTTATTTCATATTTTTGACCACAGCGTTCGCTCCGCTTTGGATCAGTATTATTGCGGAATTGTACCTACAATTTGAAAGTATGTTAAAATACAAAAAATGAATTAAAAAGATTTTTAAAGATTACTACTGTTTTTTTATAGACGAATCTTTTTTAAAATATTAATAATAAAGGGGTATAGTGGAACAGTTCCGTTTGCTTTAAATTCCAAGAAGGTGCTCGGAAGATTTCAAATAGAAGGAAGTTTGAATACAGTTTTTATAAACCATTTTTCTTACATGTTTATTATTAAAAGTTTGTGGCTTTTAATAATAAGCTGGCAACTGAAAATCTTCAACAAACTATAAAAAGAACTGTTTATTTTAATTTATTTATTTGAATATTGTATTGAATAAAAAGCCAATAAGCATTATGTTTTAATTATTCAATTTTGAATATGAGCATAGTACGAGTACAGTGAAAACTCTCTTGGACGGACAAGGGAAAGTTTTCTTAAGAGGATATTTAAATACTTAGTGAATCGAACGAGGGTTCTAGAAAAAGTATTTTCCTAAGAGGGGTATTCGGATAAAAACAAGGGGTCCATAAAGTGACTTTTCACTGAATATAAAATATCACATAGATTTTAATTCTTGAAATCGTATTTCTGCATCTACCATTAGACAATTTTAGGGCTTTTTGGTAAAAATCGATGCTATTATTATATATATGAAAATCCCAACGCAACATACTGCTTCCTTCGAATTCCTTAAATCTAAAACAATACGAATACTAGAATAATTATGTATCTATAAGCAGTTTATTAATACTTAATTAACTTATGACTAGTGCATTTATTTATAAGAATTTTATTTGTCGCACTAGCAAGCAATAAATAAATAATTATAACCTAATGAAAGCAGTAGTTTAAAATCTCCAGACTATTTCTCAATCAAAAAATCAAGAATTGTAATAAAGGAAAAATAAATTAAGAGTACAATTGTAGCTCTTGAACATACGTTTTTATTTATTATTTGAAAAGAGCTAAGAATGCATTTAATGTCTATTCAATAAATTGTGATTTTCGAACCTGCATACACGATTAAACATAATTGCTTCTGACGCACTGCCTTCCCCGCCACATGCCACATACTCGTGTTTATTGTGTGATGCGAATATTTCTTCCGCATCCAAATACTCGTGCCCCACAAACTGCTGCACTCAGCTACTTAGGCTTTAGGCCCACTACTCCTCCTCCATTGGAACTGTAAGCTGACTGGCGACAGCAGTTCAAGCACCCATATGTTATCGCCTCTCAAGATCTTTAGCGACCACTGGACGTCTATCAGCAGCTCACTTATGGCCAGTGTTGCTGTTTCTTGCCTTTTCGATTGTTTTACGATTCGCAACAGTATTTGCTTTTGTGGTTGCTGTTGTTGGTCTGTCAATAATGTGTAAGGATAATTTTAATTTTAGTCATAAAGCGACGGCGTCGGCGTCGGCGTCGGCAAGTTTTATCGCCGCAATCTGCGTCCGTCTTCGTATTCGTCTTCAACTTCGTTTGCGTATGGGGGCCAATTTATTAATTATGCATAAATGGCACTGAGCCGACCAACGATGGTCCGACACTCCGTGACTGCAATGGACAGACAGTCAGACAGACAGACAGTCTGTTCGCTCAACGCTTATTGCGGAAAGTTCAAAAAGCAATCAAGCGGGCTGAGTTAAATGTGCAATCGACAGAGTTGTGTGTTCCCGAGAGTACAGTTATATAAACAGAAACGGGCGCTGACTTTGAACGTTTTATAGCCTGGTTCTTATTCTGATTGTTGTACGTGTTTGCAGTTAGTGTTGCTGTTGTTGTTTTTAATGGGTAACTCGTTCGGCGTTAAATTGATTTACCTTAAATGGCAGCTTTTGTCATTTCAGAATTTATGATTCCAGTTAATTTGTCTTCGCAATTTCCGAAACTGTCAAGGTCTCATAATTGGCTTCGTTTCGTCTGCATTTTATTTTAAACAATTTTTTTATTGCGAACGTTAATCTTTGAGTTTGTTGGGCGGTCATCTATAAATTATCCAAAAGTGTCTAGGCCTGTCTGCAGAAAATATCCGAATGTAGCCCAAAAAAAAAAGGATGTTCAAGTCTGAAACGAAACCTTGATGCGTCAAATGAAACAAGCAGCACAGTCCGAGTCTAGACACAGGCTACCTGCTGGGCACTTTATCTGAACTGCTCGACAAGAACGACCGACCGACCGACCGACCGACCGACCAAACGAATGAACCAACCATCCATCCATCGCTCGATCGAGCCTTGCCATGTGTTTTCAAGTGCCCGTGCCCGTGATCGTGCTCCCTAATGTTTCGACGCCGTCATCGACTGGCAACCATTTTTCGTTTTTCGTAAAGTTTTAAATTTCTTGGAAATAAAAGCCTGGCCATTAGTTTCGTCCTTCTTTCCACACCATTCTACAATTGCCCTTTTTTCCCTTTTCTTTTCTTTTGTATTTTTCGTTATGCTACTCGTGTGTATTCGTTTCAGGTAGGGGCAGGCAAAATTTTGCAGCTACCTAGTCGAGCCCGTAGTGAAAATCTAAGACGCGTTACGGCTGCGCCATAGCCGTTCCCTTCCCGTCCCGTCCCTTCCCTTTCCGACTCGTCCCGACTTGTCTCGTCTCGTCTTGTCTCGGTTCGTTCTGTTTTGGTTTTCATTTTTATCTCTCGCTTAGCCCCACGTAAACGTCTTGTCGACTGTCTGAGTCCGATCGTCTGTCTCTCTGATCGTCTGTCTGTTTTTGGGCTTCACTTGTCCCTCATACGCCTCGTTCTGTTGTTGTTGTTGCTGTTGTTGTTGCTGCGTCGACTGCGATACGAAACCGTGCAGGTGTCCAATATTTTCTTTTATACCGCGTCATTGGGTAGCAGCCAAATACAACAAAAACAAAACTAGTTCTAGATTTACAGTCGCGACCCGTCGACTGCGTCGTCGTCGCCTCCACAACCACCACAACCACCAGAACCACCACCACCATAGCCACTATAGCCACCATCGTCATCATCACCATTACTTAACCAACACCAGGCCAAGCGTAGCTTTATATTTCGCCCATATTTTCGATTCGATTGCGTATAACAAGTTTAGCCTGGCCCGGTCCGACCCGGCCCTGCCCTGCCCTGTCCAGCCCGGCCCGTTCTTTAACTTTATAAAGTGCTTTGCATCCATGCAACGTTCGTTCTGCCCAGTCGGTCCCTCAGTCTATCTGTCTGTCTGTCCGTCTGTCTGTTTGTCTGCCTATATATCTGTGTGCCTGGCTCCCTAATGCTTTTTTCAATATCGCTGTGGCTGTTTGGCTTTTAATTTTTGTTTTGGTTCTTCGTTTGTGTGCTTCTTGTTCTTTTGTGATTTTGATTAATATTTTATACATGTGCTTCGGCCCCATGCAGCGCTGTTTTAGGTCCGATAATGTCTGTCTGTCTCTCTGCCAGTCTGTCCCATGTAATTATCCAAATTTGGCGTCACTTGCCGTTAAAAGTTTTCTTCTTGCTTGCACCAACAAAATACACTAAATAGGCTGCAACGGTACAATCGAATTAGGCTTTTCTTATGAAGTTTGGATTACTTATTATTCTGATTAGAAGAACCCATAATGCGAGCTCATCAGCAGATATCTACTTGTGTAGTTATCCTCAGCATATGAAAGCATTAAGAGTTGTAAAAGCAAGAACTATTTGAAATGTATTTTGAAGTTCTGTGCCAAAATAATTTTCAAAGCACCCAACATATTAATTAGAAAACATTTTGTGATTTATTAAGAACCAAACTAAATAATTCTTTATATTCACCCCAGACCATAAGGTAAATAGAGAAATTTTCAATATCTTCAAGCTGAACTGTAATAACTCCTTCAATAGTTTAAACTACAAAAGGAGCGAACGAAAAGAAAATGAAATCAATATTTCGATCCCAACATGTAGTTTTTCGAATTGATTTTCAGCAATTTCTTGCTCAAATTTGTAAATATTTAATCAGCACAGGTATTCAGTAATTCTAAGATATAGGAGTTTTTCAATAGTTCCATGAAAATATAAGACATGCTCTGTAGGCTTATATGACATAACCGAGACTTATTTATCTTATTGGCTACAAATCTCTGTTCAATTGGAAACACATTTTAGAAGCATAAAGTTTCCTGAAAATACAAATTTAAATTTAAAAAGAAAATATAAATTTAAGTATTTTTTTACAAGAAAAAAAGGATTGCCCTTCACAACAATGTAAAACATTTTACGAGTACTTCATATTTTTCGTACTTCTCTAAAATAACGAATAAATGGAAAATATTTTACTAATTAAATTGGTTTAAAAATGGAATTACACACACCTTCTAACGTTCTTTTTATCACATTTATTTATTATTATTTTTTGATGGATGATTATGATTTCCATTAAATACGAATTTTCCAAAATGTAATTCGTACACAATAAAATGTGCTAATCATTTGTTATCATGATAGATTTCGACCTCCCGCCAAAATATATGCGATCTCATTCTGAAGTCCTCCTGAATTTCAAACGCCCACGGCTGTGCATCCAAGCTGCCGACGCCATTGCTTAAGTCGCAGGAGGCGCCATTCGCATCCTTAAATCTAGAGTTGTAAAGGGTGGCTGTGACTAAAAGGCGCATGCGCAAAGGTCGGCCAAAACCGGCCCTGGGCAGCAATAGTCGCCTGGGAAATCCGCAATTGGGCGTTGAGATGTTCAATGGAAAGCCATGGTCCCCTTTCTCGGCCAGCCTCACGTATTGATATAGTTCGGTGTATGTTATGTGATCACCAACTGTGCGATAAAAGTCACGCGAGTCACGAGTAACATCGTTGATGCCAACATTTAGGTTCAAATGAAAAGCATCCAATAGAAAATAGGGCTCCTGAGTCCAGTGGCCCTGCATTGTGGTTAGGAAAGTGCGCAAAATTATTGACTCTGTCCTGTTCGAGGTAAGCTGAATGCGTAGCTGGAAGGGTTGTTGCTGCAATCGTCTCTGGCGGCCCAACAGCAAGTGCTGCCACATAAAGATCCCATTGTAGAGAAAGTGTTTCCAGTGCAGAGCATTGTTGAGATCAGCATCTACGGGTTCGTAGTACGTTTGCAGCGAAGTAATCGACACATTTGTGATGCGCAGCTCAAGGGATGTCTCTCTCGCGTCGTAGGAGGGTAGGTAAGCATTCCTATATCTATGAAATGCCCTCAGCAGTCGCCCTGCATAGTAATAGAAGTTGTGAGCTCTTAACATCGTATGTAGATCCGAAATCAATTCTGGTTGGGCGGATCCTCTCAACTTAAGCTGGCTCATATCATACGGAAAGAGGTCGTTCAGGCATAGTAACCAGTTTTGATCGCGACGTAGCTCTATTAATGTGCCATTGGTTAGTGTGTACTTCTCCGCAGTAACAGCTCGCTCCACAGCAGTCTCTAGGTATTCCAGAAGGTGTTCCAAATATCGTGTGGTTTTCTCATCATCCGATCGATAGCGCTCGCTCTGCCAAGTGAGAATGTGGCTCACTTGGTTTTCCATTCTAGATAACCGCCTATACGATAGTCCTTGTGCATAACGTTCCAGTTTATAGCGAGCGAGAATCTGCGATAGTTTCCCGTACCACCATTCACGTAATTGCTGATCCGTACCTGGCCTCTTGTCCGTCAGCATTACGCCCATGTTTACGTAATACCAGTGAGCACTCCACCCTATATCACCAAGGAGCACTTCTAGACCTTGTTCTGTGCGCTTTTCAGCAATCCACAGCACATACGTCTCAGCCATGGCGAGGGACCATTCGGTGGTGTTTCGTATACCCCGCAAGCCCGCGGGTAATACACTCTTTGGCCAGGCCTCCTTCACTTCGGTGTCACTAGAGTTCAAGACGCGCTGCCTGCTCCAATTGGCAAAGTTAAAGTTACGTACCTGTCGCACAAATTGCTGGTCGTGGTAGGGCTCTGGGAGAAGCTCAAAGATCTTTGGCATGATCAGGACACGATAGTCCTCTCGCTTTTGTAGGGCCTGCGTCAAAGCGTATACAAATAGAGAAGGATTGGTGTGCACCCGAGCCCAACAAATATTCTGACGCAGAGTGCTCCATTCACGCGCATAATAAAAGAGATAATAGAGACCAAGAGTCTCCTCCCAATGCTGCGGCTCATGAAGACTGTAGTAGATGTCTCGCGGCAGCAAGCGTCCAGATTTTTTCAACTCAAAAAAATCATCCATATGCGAGTTATAGATCTGTGAATACACACAGCATTATGTAGTCCAACATCTTTGAAATACATTTCAATATTAAATCTCACTCACAACATATTCGGCTTTATCGCTGACCAGCTCCCTGGCCAGGACTTGCCACTGTTCGTTCAGCAAAGGCTCCTGCACATGATTAAGGATCTCAAGCAAAAAGCGTTGCTTTTCGAGAAAGTATTCGTTTGCTAAATGAAAACTCTCAATGCGATGTTGGGCTACAGCTGTCGCCTGCAAACTCACCAAAAAGCGCTTCGCCAAATCCCAGCCATATAGCTAGACTGATAAACAATCGAAGGTAAACAAATTTCATTGCACTTGTTTACTGCTGGCTGTGCTGAAATGCACTGAAAACCTTCAAGATTTTTGAACAAGCGAATACATCCAATTGAACTTCTTGATGACCCCCACGGTGGAGATAAGTAAATGTTCATGTCAAATCGCTGATGACAACAATTTTATTCGCAAAACGAAAAACGAACAAACAAAAAAAGATAGGAAAAGAAACATTTTCATTTTTCAAACTAGTTCTTAGAAATAAAATAAACAAATTAAGGAGAATAAGATTATAAAAATTATATTAATATTAAAAAGAAGCTTTCAAGAATGGACAAATTTAAAATAAAGAGTATATTAACTTTTCTACTCTTATTAATGAATAGAATTCTAGCTTTAAGGAGAATGCTCTTCAACGCAGAAGCGAGTAGAGCTTCAATAAAAGATTTGAATTTTTTTTCCCATTTTTTGTGTTTTTCAATCTGTTGAATTTTGTTTTTATGCAAACGTCTCAGTGCAGATTGTGATTAAATGGACTCTTTCAGAAAAATAAAATTTAGTTCGGCCAGCAGCATGAGGCGGCTGCTCCAAAACTCAAATTCAAAACACGACGATGTACAAATTTACAATTTTTGCTGGTTTCATATAAATTAGTTTAGATATTAGAAAATACTAATGTGTTTGACTTCTCTAGTGGCATTATCTAATAATATATAAATTTCTATATATAGAATATGTAGTTTATAGTTAATCAGCCGTGCAATGCAAGGTCAGTATGGACTGCTTTATCTAATCGCGACAGCGAGCTACAGATAAGGAATTAACAATTATTGTTGTAGTTAATTTATAGTAATATAGTAATACGACAATGAATTTGAAAATAAATATAATAGATACATATAAACGTTTAGATTACATGATATCAAGAAACCAGTAAGCAATTGTTAGTAGCAAATATTTAAAAAATTTTCAAAAAACTTCTAGTATTACAGTCTAAGTTTAAAGTTCATAGCTGTTTTATTTAAAAATATATCGCTGATCATACAGACGGACAACGATTCATCATCATTGGTCTGACACTCATTTTTCCACCTTTTATATACACTCCAACCCATTATTATACTCTTCCTTTTTTACATGGCTTTTATTTCTTCACTGAATAGTCCAAGTCCAAGCTATCAATGGCAATGCAGACAAGTACTCGAGTTGAGGGAATGTTCTATATCTGGGGTAATAAATAAATCATATCTTGATGAGTAACATCCTCGCTGAAGTCACTATTGTTCAGATACCTTATCAGCTAATAATCAAATGAGCGACATTCCATTACATTATTTAGCTGCTTGCTATGTATTTCTTTACTGCTGGCATTACTTTTAAAAAGCTTCTTCCGTCGGAGGAAAGGCAGACATGAGGCCACAGATTTCTTAGTCATCAGGCATACTCGTAGGTAGGAAAAAACAAATAAAAAATTTGTCTTTCAATGCACAAGTATTTCTGTTTTGATGATTCTGGTTTGTTTGCATTGTAGCCGTTGTTGTTAACTAACAACTGGCTCCAAATACGAGTGCACTGTTGGCATCGCGTAAATGTGCGCACATTAAAGCCATGGCGAAAAAGGGTAAATTATAATGCGAATAATGTTAATTACAGGCAGGCGGCAGTGGTTGTGGCGTCTGTCGACAGTCAGTCGCATTGTCTACTGCACAAGCTTTTGTAACGAAAATTGGCGTATTAATGCAAAACGGCGGCCAGGCGTAACGGATTATATACGAGTATACTATAGTAAGCGACCGAAGTCTGTCCCTGTCTCCGAATCCATCTCTGAGTCTGACGCTGAACTGAAGTAAATTAACTGTCAGCCAATGCCGGGCTCTTTGTTTAGTACTCGTACAATCATAGGTGGCATGCGCGTCGTATGACAAGCGCTTTGCCGGAAAAGTTAATGACATGGAACCGACAACGTCCAGATACTCGTAACATCATGCCCCATAAAGGTATCTCGTTACAAATGTGGCACAATGAAGAACATTTTATTGATTTGGACGAGCAGATTTTTTTTCTTTTTTTTTTTTGAGAAAAATGCATTTCACTTTACCAAAACCTTACCTAAAATCTGAAGTAAACTCATAAGCTTGTTAACTTGAAAGACCGTTACGGCTAAGTAGAGCCCAGGCAGCAACTTATTTCACACGCATTTTCCTCGAACTGTGCAACCTCATGAAAACTGATTAGGCAGACGAGCCCTCCTTAAGCCCCCTAGCCGAATGCCTTACCCCCTTCTCACACCGACTCCGACCAACCAAGTGTTAACATAAACGTGACAAAATCATGGAAAATATTGTCTAATCATCCGATATGTGCGCAAAAGAAGGAGCGAGCAGAGACGCTGATGACAGTGACGATGTTGAAGTCTTTTCTTCTTTATGCAAAATGCGCAACATGAATATAAAGTAGATGCTGATGACAGGAATAGGGCGCTATAAATGATCGCACCATGATTGCAAAAAAATCCAAAACGAGTCAGAAGGAAAAACACCAGCAAAAAAAATAACGATTTGACAAAAGAACTTTTATCGCGCCCAGCTGATCGTGCGGCACACGTGCAAAGGGCGCGAGCTGAAATGAAATGATTTTGCATTTTTATGTTGGGAACGAATGGAAATGTGGCAAGAGTTGCAGTCGGGGCTGACTCCGGTGTTGTTGCCGTTGCTGTCTTCGATCATAAGTACTTTACATATTATTAACGCTGGGCCGAGCACGACCTTATCACACCATTTTTCTATACCTTTGCAATCATCATAAACCCATAAATCGTCGGACTGGGGAGGCGTGCCAAGTGACAATGTGCCTAATGTCATTATCGGCTTAGAAAAAGTGTACGCTGGAGGGCATTTATAAAATGCAAATTACTATTCAATAGCCTTTTTTCATCAGACACTTGGCTTTATTGCTGGAATTGCGTTGACGCGGCTAGAATTAGTTCCACACACAATTAATATTAAAAAAGAAAAACAAAGTCATTAGAAAACTCATAAACTTGACCTGTCTCAGGCGTAGTAGAAGCCGTATATGAATTTTTGGACCCTCTACTATCACATTTTTGCGAGATTTTTCGGTTCATACAGACGGATAGACGGATGGCAGATGTAAATGTAGTTGAACACCTTTCTTCTTCTGGTATTCCTTTTTGTGCCTTTTGAGTCTGCATCTGGACAACTTTTGAATCATAATGTCCACGGGCAGCGCATATAGACTTGTCTTACTTGAACTAAGTTAGTAAGTACAAAAAATATGTAGCTGCCTTAAGAACAATTGGTGTACTTATATCTATATAACAAAAACGAAGTCAACCGAAGTAAACGTTATTTCTCAAATTAATTAAAATGTTTTTCTATTGAAGCCAAAAATGTTATGGGAATTATATTTTTAATAAAAAATAGTTATATGAATCAAAGAAAGGACCATTGATTATAAAAATTAACTAAGTAATAAATTGTTTTTCTTGGGAAGTAGAGTCTGCAAATTCTAAGCGCGTTTCTCAGTAAATCAAAATATTAAGAAAATAATGAAAAGGAAAAAGAGTGTTTTCTGCAATGTGAAGTGAAATAAGAAGTCTCTCTTTGATAAAAACAATATAATTGAAGTAAAGACAGAATCCAATTAATGAACATTAAAGTGTAATCGACAAATATTTTCTTTTAATTTAAAGGCAGAAATTTCTTCTAATAGTTTGGGAGTAAAAAATACTTCAATAATGTTGGTTAGGTAGGAACGGCTTAAAAGGTATAGCCATCTAATGCACACAATACTTTCGAAAATCTAGCGCCCCAAATGAACTTCAAAAACACATCTAAATACACGTAGAGTCGATTTATTTAGTATTTGCAACGCATTTTAGAATTGTGATTAAAAGGTCATTACCATATAGTCGCCCTGTCGCATCAATCATGCTTTTGTCTGTCGCTTCACTTTTTACACTACTGCGAGTATAGGCCTCGCTCATTAGCTGCAAGCGCCGTCCGTCTCTGTCTGCGGACTTGTGGCTCGGACTGAAATGTCAGAGCCGTGACGCATGCACCGCCACAGTGGCAGCTAAAACTGCTGATGGCGAAATGCAAGCTTATGAATCAGCCAATGCCAATGTCTGCCACCCAGACCGAAAAGCGTCCGAGCCACCGGTAGTCGTCAGTTTCATACTACAAACGTTTAATAAGGCATGCGATCGGCGAAAATTGGGTCAAGTGAGATAAATGCATATTATAAAAATAATACAACAACAACAACAACTACGAAAAAAGAAGCATTTACCGAACAAAGAAAGAAACTTAATACATGCAGTTGCAGACAATGCTGGGGCTTTCATGCGAACTGTCAACTTGTCATTACAATTAAGCAGGCGATGGTTATCTATTTGTCAGTAGAGAGCTCCAAGTGTCAGGCGGACCCCCCTATCCCCCACCCCCCCAAAAAAAAGAAAAATAAAAATAAAAGTACACCCACACGTGCCTTAAGCGTTAAGCAAATTAAAAAATTACTGTGCATGGGATTATTGAAATATGACACCGGGTCGAAAGTCTTGGGTCTTGGGCAGGTAGCAGTACTTGCCGTACTGCCGTTGACCCAATTCGCCGCACTTGCCACTTGCCACAGTTTGACAAAACAGTTAAAGTTCTGAACAATCGATCCCCCAACTAACCGATGCGTCGCTGCTCATCACACTTCCAAAGGTTCTTAGCTTAGGTTCTTCCATCGCGGTTATGGTTCTTCATACTCACGATTATGTATATATGTATGTATGTATGTACGAGTATTTATATTTATTTACCATTTGGTTTATTATGCAGTGCATTCACCGCATTTATGTTACCCATACCCTGTTCTGTTTGATCGCCCTTATTGGGTCTTCGGTGTCGGCGTCGGTGTCGATGTCGTCGGTTGTTGTCGTTGCAACGCATCAAGTAGTTCCAATGTACAAGTAACTTATGATTATTATAGAAGTATGTTGGGAAAGTCAAATAACGGTCGCCACAACGACTCCCCAAACTTAGAACATATCGTGCATAATTTCAATTTGATGAGTTTTCAATAAGTCTGTATTGCCGCTGATGAGTTTATTGATCTTTTCAATACACGCTCTCAGATTGCTGTTGTCGCCGGTGCTGGTGTTGGGAAAATGCATTTTACACTAAATGCTAACAATAAATTCGTATGTTCAGGGCCTGGGAACCTAACAGTGTACATAAGTATTGGTACGAGCTTCATAAGTCAAGCGTTAGCTTTGAGAAGAAATGCTTATTGCTCTTTGATGTGCATTTGTTTTGTGTTCTAATCAATTGAATACTTAACAATGAGCGCGTTCAGAAGGTCGTAGCGATTTGCGATTTGTGATCGACCATTACTGATTTCACCTATATGATTCGGATTAGTAAAAATCCAAAATCAAAAAACACAAATCGGAAAAATATTATAATTACTTGATTTAGATTTTTCCATTTTGGCTCTACATAGTCCGAATTTGCTCGAGACCTGTGCGGAAATTTATAAAATGGCAAAATGCTCCCCAAAATCAAAATATTTTATTAAAACAGTCATCACAAGTGGTCGGCAGAGACTAATCAACAATCGATAATCAAAAATCACAAATCGCTATGACCTGCTAAACGCGCCCAATATAAGCCTGAATCATACAATATTATTAGCATTCATTTTAATTTTTAGCCAAAAATATACAATTTTTTGTTTGTTAATTAAAATGTTTTTCTGGCTTATAGTGACTTTGATCGATCTCTTTAGTGACAAAAGTTTTGTGACAAGTTTCAAAACGGAAAACATTCAACAAAATTAGTTGGTTTATGGATTTTTGGCAATCACTTTAAATATTGATTTAAATACTTCCTTGCTAATTATTTCGAATAGAGATATTATTGCCATGTTTATCCTGACATTTCATTTAATACATACTTGTATAAGAATTCTGTTAAAAAATAGTTGACCTATCTATAGAATATAGCTTTTATTTGATATTGATTTAGTTTTTAGTTCGTAGTTTTTCACATATGCTTACCAATTCTGTGGAAGTCTTCAATTTGTATGCTATCATTAAACAACTCAACACAAAATTACTCTATAGATCAGATACTTCTAAATCACACCTCCAATACCGATTTTTTTTTTATATAATGACGTATTTTTTAATATTTGGAATCCCTATAAAGCCTGATTATAATAATTTATTCAATTAATTGATATTTATTCAAAATTGTTCATCAAATCAATGCTTTCCAAGTCCACTCATCACTCTGATAGATGCTTACAAATTTCTGGCTTCATTATTCTCATAAATGCGGTTAAAAAAATCATTATATGTATATTCGTCATTTCCATCCAAATGCTAAATAGTCCCCATATGGAGTAAGTACTCTTAATTTGGCTTCACTTACAATCTTACAAGCTAACCCATAACCTTTCCTTCTCACTTCTTACGCTGTCCGTTAAGTTTTACAAATTGCGCGTTAAAAGCGTCAAATCATCGCACGGCTTAAGGGCCCTGCCTCGTAGCCCCTGCCCTGACTGACAGCAACTGTCTCTGCCATATAAGGCAGCCTACTTTTGGGTCCGTACGAGTACAGAACTGCAGACAAGATTCATTAGCTGCTCCGTCAACGGAAAGTCAGGCGTCAGAACAACGGACCATTCGAATCGCTGTTTCTGTTTCTGTTGTGTCATTATTGGTTGCCAGTTGGTGACAAATTCCCTCAAGCCTTTTGATCGAATTCAAAATTCGCCTCGTCAGCTCGTAAAAGTAGCAAACCAGAGAATTTAGGGTCATATGCTAAGCCAAGTCAGTCGTTGACTTTTTGCATGCCATTTGCTATAAAATGTCAAATAAAACTAATGGGACGCTTGGTTTAATTAAAGCGTTTTATATACTCTAATAAAGGAGTCTAGTTTGTGACTAATGCCCATCTACTTGAATAAACGTTGCTTAAGCTACCAATGGAAAAATGATGAATCACAAATTAGTTGAAATATGTCTGTCAATAGGTTCTGCCAACACCATTGAGCCAAACGTGTACCTTAATTTCCACACAATACTCTTATTATATTAATATTATTCATTAAGATTTTACTCCAAGTGCTACAAGAACATGAAATATTTGAAAATTATGTCTGTGTTTAAATTGTAAAGGGTTTATATCATAAATAGAAATGAATCTCAGTAGCTTTCCGATCCGTTACGCGACTACGGACTGCAGCGTGTACTCATTGTCGACTGTGATGTGCATCATGGCAATGGCACTCAACACATCTTCGAATCGAGTCCCAAGGTCCTGTACATGAGCATCCATCGCTATGAGCACGACAGCTTCTTTCCGAAGGGACCAGGCGGCAACTACGATGTGGTGGGAAAGCAGGCGGGCCGCGGTTTTCATGTCAACATACCGTGGAACAAGAAGGGCATGGGAGATCTGGAGTATGCATTGGCCTTCCAGCAGCTGATTATGCCCATTGCGTATGAGCTCGATCCGCAGCTGGTGCTAGTCTCGGCGGGCTTTGATGCCGCAATTGGTGACCCCTTGGGTGGCTGCAAGGTGACTCCCGAAGGTTATGGACTCTTCACCCACTGGGTGTCTGCGCTGGCCGGCGGTGGCATCATTGTCTGTCTGGAGGGCGGCTACAATGTCAATTCCATTTCCTATGCCATGACCATGACGCCCCAGTTCAATGTAGCAGCACCACGCACACCAACGGTCGCGTATACAAGTTGCCTGGAGACGTTGCGGAGCTGTTTGCAGACGCAGGGACAGTTCTGGAAGTCGTTGGCTTTTTGTTGCAAACTGCCCCAGTTTGTAAGCGAGAACAACAGCGAGGATTTTCGTACTATTGCCTTGCTGCAATTAAATATTTCAAAGGACGATGCGCAAGGCGCGGCGGGCGGACCAGGCGACGATCGTGCCGGCACTGGGGTCGAGCGGCCAAGTGGCAGCAAAGCCAAAGTTAGGGAAAAAACGTTCACAGAGTTTATGGGGGAGCACAAGAAGATCAATAGATCATCGCGTGCACCATCCACTGGTGATGAGCTTTAGAGATCTGTCTGTTTGGTGCTACGAATGTATCTCTTACGTCGATAATCCACGCCTATATATCTACAAGAACTTAGCGCACATCAATAAATTTCAAGAGCCGATGGCCTGCCTGCCCTTCCTGCTGGAGCATTTTTAAAATGGTTGAAAAATTGTTAAAAAGAAATCAAAAATCGTTTAGAAATGAATCGTGAACATATCACATAAATTGTTTAAGCCATAAGGGTGGAACTTGGCATTGCTCTAAATGCTTTAGAATTCGATGTTATATTTGTAGAAAACCATTTCAGAGTCGATTCAAGACTTAGTTCATAATCCATTTAAAAACTGTCGAATGCTTGCTCAAGATATGATAAAACATAAATCATTTTTCAAATGGTTCAGAAGGAGTGCGACTTATACGAATATGCTCGGAGAATCAACGCCATAAACTTTTCCTATTAAACGTCTATTAGAATATATATTAAGTCGCCTAAATATCACAACCAACTAATAGGCCAATTGTCAGCTTTACCAATCGAAAAAGTTCTTCTATTTGCTGGCCATTTAAAAGTCGCAACGCGTCACGTGCTGAGCGGAAGTGCAGCTTTGGGCTCGGCCCTCGACGCCAAGGGCCATAAACGACTAGCGCACCTGTAATTGTAATTGTGTCTAATGCAAGAAATTAAGGAGCTGCCCGTACGGTCATTACTGCGTACTGGCGATGTGAAAAAGCAACAAGAAGTTGTTGACAAAAAAGGCGGCCGAGAAAGCATTAATGACTGCATTTTAATGCGCTGGGGAGACCGAGGCTAAGAAGCTTGGGCGTTTGAGGCAGCATTCAGAACCGAACGCGTGCCAAATGCTCGCTTGTCTTGA